GACTGCGACACTTTCACTCTCTTGGGACGGCGGTTTGGTCAGGTCAGGTCAGGATGTGGCGGGACCGGCCGTCACGCGCCTGGTCAGATCAGCGACAGAAGGTCAGACGAGGACGTGACGAGAAAGTCATCAGGGGCGAGGCCAGCACTGGGAGCAGTGTTTTGGTCAGGACGGCGCCGCAATATCGTGCAGGACGGGACAAAAATCGTCCCATTCATTACACAACCAACCTGGACTGGATCAGACAGGCTATGATGGATAAGAATAGTACCAGTCGCAACAGAGAGAATCACGAGGTGACAGGCTGGCGCGCTCCTACGATTGCCGGCCGTGGTCAGGTCAAGACTGGATCCGCAGCTCCAGCTACCGCCGCCGAGGCAGCGTCGTCGTCTTTAGGCAGGGTGTCATATAAACACAGCACAGTGAATGCCGGGCTGCTCCCTGCCGCCTTCGAGATCTGGACGCTGAACATTCGGCATTTCCGTGCACGTGATGGTCGTCCCGGAGCATTTCTATGGAAGACACGACGCGAGATGGAGGTCACAGATAAGCTTGTGGTTGGGCTGGGTGCTACCCTGCGTAGGACGTCCGCTTGGCGCAGGGAAAGCGGCCTCCCTTCTGGGGTGCGTGGAGCGTTGATGCGTCGCACTCCAGTGTCTGGCTCGGCGCAGTAAATAAGCCGTCCCAAGATGTGAAGAGCACAACTTGTATCAGCGGGCGGGCTGCCTCTTAGTAGGACGCGTTGGGATAATCAGCTTCGGGGTTATCTCCGCACAGTGTGCTCTCTTCAGTTACATAACGTATGTTTTCCCGAATCCTTTGGATGTCTCTCGCTTGCGCAGTCACCCGGACATTCGTTTAGGTCTGCTGTTCGCCCGAGGGGATTCATCGTGCAAACAAATACCCTCAAAGCATGTTCATGGGCGTCCCAAGGCCGCCGGAGGGCATGTGGCTGTCTCGCAGACCAGCCTGTTTATTTGGTCGGATCTGAGCCGCTTTATCGGCAGTGCCTTTAGCTCGTCGGTGGGCGGGCGCTGGCTCGTCCCGCCCTGGCCGAGGCGGTGAGGCCGCGGTCGCCGCTCAGGTCAGGCAGAGCGGCTGGGTTGGGGGGGGGGGGGGGGGCGTCCGGACGGCGACCGCAGGGCGATGCGGACATGATCGGTGGCGGTGAGGGACTGGGCCGAGGTCGTGTCGCCGCCGCCGCCGCCCGCTGGGTCGTGCCGGCCGACCGAGCCCTCAGGCGGGGTCGCCGAGGTCGCCGCCGAGCTGGGATGTGGGTCAGGCGGGGCGGCGCGGCGGCCTGTCCCGGTGCCGGCCGCCGGCAGGACGGCGTCCGATCGATGCGGCGCGGCCTTGGCGGACGCGTGGCCCGCGCCTGTCTGCCGTGGCCCCGGCACGTCCAGGGCGGCGACCTTCGCCGGCCGGCGCCGCCTGGCCGGCCTTCCCCGCACCCGCCGGCGCCAGAGTCGGCGCCGGATTACCTGCGCGCGCCGCGCCGCCCGTCTGGCGGCCGTCGTGCGCCGCGCTCACCACACGCGGCACGCTGTCAGCGGCGCGCGGCGGCCCGGAGGCTGGCAGTCCGTGCGCGGCGCTCACCGCGTTTCTGCGCAGTGGTCCATTGAAGCGCTGCGTCATGAGCGTTTGGGGCTCGATCTCATCCAAACACCGCGGCACCGGCCGCTCGGAGGCGCGGCCGCCGGCTTGTATACAATAGTGGCACGGCGAGGCCGTTGGGTACTCGGCTACCGGCCGTGCGTGTTGTGTGCCGGGCTGGTGCGGCCGAACCGAATGACTGGCTTCTTTCGGGCGCAGACGTGGTCACGGAGCGCGGCCCGGTCGGTCAGGGTCGCAGGGTCTGGCCCGGCCCGGTCGCCGCGCGTCGCTGACGGCGCGCTGTGTGCCACGCGTCCGGTTGGGACGTACCGTGACCTGCATCTGGCGCCGCCGGTGTGGGGGGTGTGCTCCGCTGGCGTGTCCGGCGCGCGCTTGTGACGCGGCGCTCTGTCCTGTTGCAGGTTCCACTTCCCGCACGGCCGGCCCGAGAGCCGGGAGAAGCTGGAGGCGCAGCTGCAGAAGATCGCGCAGGCCTTCTCCTCCTACCCGGGCGGGCAGGTGCCCAAAGACAAGTTTGCCGCCATCGCCAAGGTGAGAGGGCTGTTCCGCGCACGCCGCTTTCGGCCGTCCGAAGACGCCTACCGGGCCAGGGCTCACGCTCAGGGAGCCCGTCTCCCGGCGTGGCCCGAGCCGCTGACATGCGCCACGTGGGAGCACTGCCGCTGGGGAAATTCGCCGTTGCCTGCTGCAGTCTAGCCCGGGCTCGGAGCGCAGCGCAGCATCAGCCTCTCCCAGCCTCCCGCCGGGCTTGCCGACTCAGCCAGCCCGGACGTCTTTAAACTGGATCAGCGGCCCTCCCTCCCGCTAAGCCTGATCGCGTGCAGGCGCAGCCGCGGGCGCGGCTGCTGATCCGCAGCACCCGTCCCGTGCCGCGGAGGGAGCGGCCGCCGCCGGCTGCCGGTTCCGCCCTGTCCCGGCCCGGCCCGGCCCGTCACGAGCGGTCGCTGCGGCGCCGCACGCGGACCCGGCCGCCCCGGCGCCGCCGCGCCGCGCCGCGCCGGCCTGGCCGCACAGACGGTGCGCGGGCGGCCGCTGCTGGCGCCGGCCCCGAATCACAGATGTGTGCAGATGAATAAAACATGGCAGCTGTGTGCTGGTCGGTGCGGCCCCGACCGTCAACAGAGGATAGTGGTCGGGTGCCGCGGCTCCCCGCTCGGCTGGCCCGGCTGACCGCTGCGACCCCGGACAAACGGCGAGTTCGCACCCGAGGCAGTAGGCCAGCGGACGCGACAGAGCTGCCTGAAGGCAACAGCCGATGGCCTTAGGATTTTGTAGTCCACTCAAAAGAAGCTTTACTGCATTACAACTGCATGTTATCGAGCAGTGCTCTCTGTCGCTGGTAACCGGGTGAGCGCCGGCTGCTAGCTGCCGATCCCCGCCGGCGTGTCGTGCGCCCGCCGCGCGGTGCATCAATGACTCTCTCCGCTGAGGGGGGGGGGGACGTCCGGGAAGGGGACGCTCGGCACGCTCCGGCCGGTGGGGAGGCGTCCTCGGGCGCAGACGGCCGCGCCGCCATATGCGGCGGTGGTGGCGCCGGCCGCGCCATATACGCCGGCGCGACCGGGCCGGCGCAGGCTGCCCTGCACCGCTGCCAGAGGCACCGGCGCCGCCGCCCGGAGCGCTGGGCACGCGGCCGCAGCCACGGCTGATGCGACAGATGGGTTTGGCGTATTGCAATCGCGCCGTGTGTCATACGTCGGCTGGCCGGGTCTGCGCGGTACGCCCGCGCCAGATGTGGGCACAGGTGGACAGTTCGGGTGGGACAATTGTTCTGGTGTCTGTTTAACGAACCTGATACGGAGATACTTCTTTGCTCGCATTTGGACCGCCCAGGTGCGCTTTTGCAAGTTCCATTCCCTCTCGCACGTTTAGCTTTGCTGGCATGGGTAGACCCAGAGACTACATCATCTGATCTCCAGCTTCCCATGGCATCCTTTTCGTCCTGCTATGTGCCTCTTCCCGAATTCGTCTCAGCGGTGTGCCGTGTTTGCAATGATACTGTGACTGGTGTGGCTCTTCAGGCTAGTGACGTTTAAATATATTCTCGGACGGCCCACTCGGTCAGCGAACAGTTGCAGTGCATGGCTCTCAGGCAACGGCGGCCATCCGTACCGCTTCAGACGGCCTTTGTCCGGCGCCACAACAATGGCAGCGGTAAGCGATTGTCACGCGCCGGCTCTCAATGTGCGGTTAGGCTGGGCGCGCGGCGGGCTGTCTCCATTGTGGCCGGGCGGCCGCGAGCGGCCGACTGACGGCCGGCGCTCGGTTGTCGGCAGGCGTGCGAGCTGCCGCTCTACTGAAGGTGCCGCTGTTCCTGGCGGCCGGCGGCGAGAAGACCGGCCACGTCACCGCCACCGCCTTCCTCGACTTCTGGAAGAGGTGGGTCAGAGCTGATCGGCGGCAGCGAAGACGGGCGGCGGACTAGGGCCGCCGGGCGGCGGACCCGGGGGGCGGCGGATCCCGGCCAGCTATCGGGCCCGCTTCCTCCCGCAGCCGGCCGGCCCGGCCGCGCGCGCGCGCGCGCGGACCGCGCAGCCGCCGCTGGCCGAGGAAACAGCGCTCTCACAAAAACTTGTTCAAGGCTGGCGGTCGCTGGCGCGGCGTTGCACAACAGGTCACGTGACCCTCGGCCGGGCCCGGCGGCGGCGCGCGCCCCGGACGTCGGCCGAGCCGCGCGCGCCGGAAAAAGCGGCGCGCCGCCGGTTCCGCGTGCCGCGCGCTGTTGTCTTCGGCGCCAGCGCGCGCCCGATTACGGCTGGTCGTTAGCTGGGCTCAAGGTGACGCCGGCCGTTGGGGCGCGCTCCCACGGCCGACGAGAGGGGGCCGCGGGCGGCGCGATGTTTTGTCGCCTCCCGTCCTCCCACGCCCGTACCCCGTCGCAGGAGCGGAATCGTAATCACAACACCCTAGGCTCTTCGTCGTGTGATCGCCGAGGTGTCGCTCGCTGTGTCGACTAGCTCGGCTAGCCGACATGTCCGCTCGGCTAGCCGTCCGGTCGCACGGCTGGCCGACAGATCGCTCCGCCAGCCGACAGCTCAGCTAACACTGGCGCATGTGGTCTTCATTGACCAGTAGGGCTCATCTGATCACGTTGTCCCGGATGATCATTCGGCGTTTTCGTTACAAATTATAACTCAGCAGTGTTGTGACCATTGACTTGTGTACGGCTGTTCCAGCGTGATGATGTTTGCCGGCTGCGTGGTACAAAGGAGCGTGTGTAGCCTGTCCCGGGCGGCCGGAACGCGTGTGTTTGTGACGTTAGCGTCGGGCGCCGCCGGCAGGCTGCTGGCCACCCTCACACGACCAGGCGTCGCGCTTCGTGCGCGTGCTGACCGGCGGCCTGCGTAACCACCTGGTGCCCGAGGACCTGGTGCCGCTGGTGCAGGATGTGGTCGAAGACGCACCCGGGCCTCAACTTCCTCAAGGAGGCTATCGAGTTCCACAGCCGCTACGTGCACACCGGTGAGGGACCGATCAGGCCGGTTCGTATTGGGTCAGGTCAGTGGTCGGGGTTGGGTCGGGTCGGGCTTGACTGGGTCAGGTCAGGTCAGGTCAGGTCGGGTCGGACTCTGTGATAGCGACAGGGGCCGTGTCAACCTATCTGGGTCGGCTGCTGGTCCGGCCGGCCGGCTGACGGACGGCGGCGGCCGCTGCCGAGTCACCGGCACTGGCGGGCCAGTGTCCCGGACCCGGCCGCCGGCTCCGCCTCGCCGTCTGACCCGCCGCCGCCCGCCGCAGGTGATCGCTCGCATCTTCTACTGCGTCAACCGCTCGTGGAGCGGCCGCATCACAGTGCCGGAGCTGCGCCGCTCTCCAACCTGCTCAGCACGATCCAGCTGTTGGAGCAGGAGGAGGACATCAACCAGGTGGGTGCGGCGGTGGCGGCCGGCACACGGCCGTGGCGCGGCACCGGGCCCTTGCCGGACGCCCCCCCCCCCCGCGTCCCGCGGCGGGCCTGGCGTCGGCCGCGCCTCGGTTCTGCAGAGCCGCGGGGTCCCGGCCGGCGGGTCCGAGCTCGATGCAAGATGCTCTCCAGATACTAGGGAGATGCGGAATCGTAATCGCCTGTCCAGCTCGTGATGTGTATGTGTGTGGCTGCCTTGCAGATCACAGACTATTTCTCGTACGAGCACTTCTACGTGATCTACTGCAAGTTCTGGGAGCTGGACAAAGATCACGACCTGCTCATAGACAAGTCGGACGTGGCTCGGCACAACGACCACGGTAAAGACGTCGGCGTACCGACGTACCACGGCACCTCTGTTTACTGCTCCCGGGGATCGGTCGCGCTCGCCCGAACAGAGCCTTTGCAAAGGCGGCCGAGCAACGTCGCATACCCTCGGTCGGCCGTGACCTAGGACCGTTGACCTAGGTCTGTTGACCTAGGATTGTTGACCTCCCACCGGGGTGTGGAGCGCCCTGCTGCTGTAGAGGGCCTGCTGGCGACGCGACACAGAGTGCCGAATGATTGTCACTCAGAGTACCGAGTGGCTCTGAAGGCCGAGGTCGTGGCACATGATGGTGAACCAGCGATCGTTGCAGCCGTCTCGTCGCGCATCATCGACCGCATCTTCAGCGGCGCGGTGACGCGCGGCAGCGCGCGCAGGCAGGAGAAGATGACCTACATGGAGTTCGTGTGGTTCCTGCTCTCGGAGGAGGACAAGAAGCACCCGACGGCCATTGAGTACTGGTTCAGGTGAGCGCCGTCGGAAGGGCGGGCCGGCTGCCGCAGCGGCCACCGACGGCGCCCGTCGGCCAGGCGACGGTCCGCAGCACGGCCGGCTGAGCTGTGGTGGGGTGTGGCAGCGGCGCGACTTCGCGCGACGATGCGGAAGCGAGTCGGCTGGTGGGATGCGCGCCGAGACGCTCTGCTGTGATGTGTGGTCCAGTGCCGTCAGCTTGAGCTCGTCCGTCAGCTTTGGAAAACGGCTGGTATCGAGGCAGGTCCCCGGATGGGGAGCCATCCCGGGTCTGCGCCGTCGCCCGCCTCTTTGTGCGACAGTCTGCATGGTCGCGTGCGGCCCGTCTGACGGAAATTGGCCACAGCTGGCGTTGTTTTGCCGCCGTGAGCGACTCGGCGCGCCGGCCGGAAGGCGCCGCGGCCGGCCGGGTCAGCGCCCGCGCCGTCCAGATAGTTGACAAGGCCGCGCGGTTTGTGGCGTCTGGCGGCGTTATCGGCGCGCGGCCGGAGGCGGGTCCGCTCGGAGACAGACGCCTTCCGACCGGAAACGCGCCCGGCCGACCGTGCCGACGTGTTGACGGCGCGGGACGCCGCGTCACCCGCCGGTGGCGGCGCGCCTCGCGTGGTGCCGGGCGCTGCTCTCCCGCGGAGAGGGCGCCGCTCCTCGCCGCTGCCGTCCGCTCACGTCCGCCGCGCCGCGTCGGCGTCTGGCCTGGCGGAGCTGTGGACGTGTCAGGCGGCGGTGTTAACGCCGGGCACGGCGCGGTGCTCTAGCCCCGCCGCCGTCTCATCTGGCCGTGCCCGCTGACGTTGGCCCACCTCCCCGGCAGGTGTATGGACCTGGACGGCGACGGCTTCCTCTCCATGTACGAGCTGGAGTACTTCTACGAGGAGCAGCTGCAGCGTATGGAGGCGCTCGGCATGGAGACGCTGCCGTTCGAGGACTGCCTCTGTTGGGTGAGCGGGCGGCAGTGACGGCTTCTCCCCGGCGGTGGCCGTGCGCTCCGGGTGCTGGAGTCGTGACACGGGTCCGTGTCCGGGCGGCGACCGGGTCCGATGTGGTCGCGAGCGGGCCCCATCCGTCCTAACGAACGCGGCACGCTTCATGAATACGTCTGGCGACAGCGACTGCTGCTGGCTCGACAGTGGGGACTGGGTTTGCCAGCGCCTGAGTGTTCGTTTTTTGCGACAATGGTTACACAGGACCGTGTGGCGGCTCATGCAGACGCGTTGCTACTCGGAGTAAGCCGATTGGATACGGGTATAGGGTCTTGCCCTGTTGACACCCGGTCGTGACAGTCACTCCCTGCGTACCGCGTGTTCTCGCTGACGACAGTGACGCTGAACCGGCAATGAGGGTCGCACTCGCTCCGCAGATGCTGGACATGGTCCAGCCCGAAACACACGGCAAGATCGCGCTCAGCGACCTCAAGCAGTGCCAGATGGCCAACATCTTCTTTGACACGTTCTTCAACCTGGAGAAGTACCTGGAGCACGACCAGCGCGACCCGTTCGCCATGCAGCGGGACGGGAGCCCGGCCAGCCGGTGGGTGCCGCCTCTGCCCTGCGCTACCACCGTGGGCCGGAGCGCAGTGGCGTGGTTCACCCGATGGGTTATGGTGTGGTAGCTTGCTACGGTTCCTGTGTCGGGAGCAATTGGTGCTGAATGATTTCATGTGATTGGGGAGATCTGGTCGCCAGCCAGGCCTGCCCTTGGCGTCGATTAAGGTTTCGAGGCGGGCGGTCACGGATGCGAACATCACTGTTCTTAACCAGAGGTCAATTGTCGTAATGGCGGACGTGACCTTTTACTGGGCGGATGGGGCGGCCGATACCGTGGCGGTGCGTCCGGCCCCGCCGCCGTGCGGCTCTGGCGGCGGTGGCTGCGACTGAAGTGTGTCCCATGGCCGCCAGATGTCGGACTGGGACCGGTTCGCCGCCGAGGAGTACGAGCTGCTGGTGGCTGAGGAGGGGGCGGCCGAACAGGATCCCGAATTGTGAGTTACTGGCGCGCGCTCGAGTGGCCGGGCGGCGCTTTCGCTTGCGCTGCTTAGTGGCTCGACTATGTCTTGCTCCCATAGAGGAGGTCATTCCATAAGCATCATGAATCTTAGATGTTTTTGTCTGGCGTAGGTAATCTGTGAAGCCAACGGGCGCGTCTCGTTGCCAGACAGTAGTCAATCAAACGAGAGGGTTGGGATCGGGGACGCTGTTGTAGAGCGCTCGTTTCAGCATGAGCTCTGTGTTGTCGGTTAAGTATATAATTCGGAAATGATGCGTTGCAGGGTTGTTGTTGAAGATACGCCTTAGCTTAAGTAAGTACCCATGGTACTTAACCCAAAAACTTAAACCCCAACGTGTACATGTTAATGAAGCGCCTTGGTGTGTGTGCATAACAACATTTGTTTTGTGCTTTTATTCGTTTTTCTTCTTTTCGTTCCATACGCCATTATTGCCAGGAATGATTTGGATGGTAACAAAGCAGTCCAAACACAAATTTATTGTGCTCATTTGACAGCATTGATTAACATGACACCAAGTTTGAGTTTACCGTCCGTGCCGTCCTGAGACGCATGAAAACACAAAACACGCGCCCACGTGATTCCGTGCGCATCGCCCACCACGCCGCAAGCGAGGCCCCGCGGCTCGGCCGGGGCACTGTGCAATCCCGGGGAGGGCGGGGGGGGGGGGGGCGCGACACTTGGCGCGCTCCATACAGGTGGTGCCGTGGTGCAACACAGGTGGTGCCGGTCAGATTGGTGCTTCACTGACGGGTGGTGCCGGTCAGACTGGTGCTTCGCTGGCGGTTGGTGCCGGTCGGACTGGTGCTTCGCTGACGGTAGAGTCAGTCAGGCTGATGCTTCGCTGACGGGTGGTGCCGGTCAGACTGGTGCTTCGCTGGCAGTTGGTGCCAGTCAGACTGGTGCTTCACTGTCGCGATGTCGGTGTACAGCGGGGAACCAGCTGCTTGTTTCGTCGCCGCTGGCGTCTTCATCTTTGGGGAGGGGGCGCACATGTCTCAACCTCTGCGCACCGTCCGCGCCGACCCTCATATACCACTGCGTGGGTTGAGACCGTGGGGACTCCGGGCATGGTAGGGACGTCAGCTGGTCGGCGTCCGGCTGACGGCGACCCTTATACACCACTGCGTGGGTCGAGACCGTGGGGACTCCGGGCATGGTGGGGACGTCAGCTGGTCGGCGTCCGGCTGACGGCGACCCTCATACACCACTGCGTGGGTCGAGACCGTGGGGGCTCCGGGCATGGTGGGGACGCCAGCTGGTCGGCGTCCGGCTGACGGCGACCCTCATACACCACTGCGTGGGTCGAGACCGTGGGGGCTCCGGGCATGGTGGGGACGCCAGCTGGTCGGCGTCCGGCTGACGGTGACCCCGCCTGCGCCGCAGCCTGTACGAGGAGGACGGCGACCAGGAGTCGGAGCCGCTGGAGCGGCTGAGCATCACGGAGCCGGTGCGCACGCCGGCCCGGCCGCGGCCCGACGCTGACGACGACTATGCCGAGACGGACGCCGACTACACCTACATCTCGGACGCGCCCGCCCACGCCAAAGTGGTGTGAGCGCGGCGCGCCACCGCAGCCAGCGAACAAGCGCGGCAGCTGGCGCCGGCGCTATTTATACGAGGACTGGCGCGCCGGGGGCCGGCCACCGGTGCGCACGTGCGGTCGCTTAGCGACGGCGAGTCGTGTGACGCGCGGCGCGCGAGCTGTGATTCCGGCAGGCCGGCCGACCGGCCAGTGCGGCGGCGGCCCGCCGCGAGACGGATCAACGGGCGGCGAACCCTTCCGGCGAGACAGATCAATTGCGGCCGGGCGGTTGTCATGTGTCGATCGCCACGAGTTCTGTGTGACAGGTGAACTCGTAATCGAATTTATGTCAGCAGTCTGAGCAGATCGTTAGTCAACTGTTTGTGCGCATGTGAATTATTAGTGTTTGATGTGACGATTAGTTTTCCGTGATCAATTCCAATGAACTGACAAGTTGCATTCATCCAGTGTAAATAGTTCATGTATATAGTGTCATATGTTTGTGGTGCAATTGCCAAATATTGCAGTTTGATACCTAACAGCCATATGCTTTTGATGATTAAATCTCTAATGTGGGATTCGTGTTTGACGGTGCTGGAGAAGCCCGGCGACAGTGGACCTGGTGGAACATGAACGGTGTAGGCCTGAAGATGCCTGTTGGTGGCACCCGACCGAGCACGATCCTCAGCAGCGGGCCTCGCATGAGCTCGCTCCGTTGGTTTACCGTCGCGCGTGGTAATGGGCAGGCCCGCCCGTCCACCTTGCGACACTCCGCGTGAGCATGGTGCCGCCGGCAGCCGCGAGATGGCTCCACGGTCGTCCCGGTGTGTCCATGCCGGCTCAGACCTGATGGCGGCGCAGTAGTGCATTGTCGCTCGCCTCATCACATTGCTGTCCATGTTTGACGGTCGTGACCGAACAAACGCCCACCTAATCAAACAAAAATAGCTAAATTCCCCTGTTGGAAACGCTCATCCTTTGGGTGCTACTTCAAAGCAACTGGATTTGAGCATTTGCTGTTATGCCTATTGGTCTTTGGCTGGCCATTCTCAGCCCGCAAATATTCGCTCGCAGCCGGATAAGTTGCGACGGTGTTGGTACTGACGAGAGATGTCGGCACCGCACACACGCTGTCCCATCACTCGGCGGCGGCTCGGACACGCCAGATGAAGAAGTCTTCGGCATGCTGGCAGGGGCAATGCCTCTCCATTCAGTTTTGCCCTTGGCCTACCATCTCTTCAGCCATCGAACTCGAAACAGCTGACTTACTGAGGCTAAGAGGCATGTATACTGCACAGTTTGTGTGGTTGGTAAACAGGCCATCGCGAGTACATCGAGGAAGATGTCCGTAAAGCGACCAGGTTTTACGAAGTGTTCGGAGACCAGGTGAAAGGAGTTAAAAGAGCCAGACTTCGTTGGCCTTGCCGGTGAAAATAATGCTCCCTTTGCAGCTTACCTCGAGCGAACGTATAAATCAATCCAGATGTCAAATACAATCCGCGACACCCTCAGCTTCGATATCGATTTTCCGCCTAGCAATGCAGCCACAAGTGGCACGGTCCATTCGGCAAGGTACAACCAGCGCCGTTGGCGGCAGCGGAGGGAGTTCGTCCGACAGAGGCACGAGAATGGCGGGCTTTTCCGACACACTGTTCGACAGAGAACATGTTAGTCCTTACATCGGTTCAAAGGGTGGTGGTCAGCAAGCTAGTGGTGCTGGCGCATCAACACAACGGGAACAATGTGACATACGCCGAGGTGCCACCGGTCGGTGAGTCTTCTCTTTTCAATCTCAGGCTGGTTGGGAGCCCCATTAGTTGTATGAGCGAACATGATGCGTTCCGGTCATTACGTGATGTGATCGTAATCTGATCATTTGAATGTGGAACAGAGTGCACGTGTACGGTCTGTTGTTTACGTTAAATTTTGTCTTTTGGGCATGCTGGCGTCCCTTCAAGTTAAAACATGTTGCATCTTTTAAGACTAGAATTACCGAGCTAGACTGAGCGTCATGCGTTTGAAGTGATTGAGACAGCGTTGTTTAGAATGTGGTGTGTTGTCTCAGGCCTGCACACATGGACAACCAACGTTGGAAAATGCAGAGAAAAATTATTCTGGCAGAGATGCCGTAATGAAGGTCTTTCAAGGGCCAGGTGTCAGAATTGGCTAATTTCAGTGAAAGCCGTTGCGGGCGCTGCCATATTTGCCATACCAGACACTGCATTCATGTGTGCAGTTGCGTATGGAGAAGCGCAACTGACCGTTTTAGCAAAAAACTTTTGAAGCTCTGTTTTGAAACTGCTCCCACCTCTTTAAAACGGAGCAACTATTCTTGCTCAGGACATCTCCCAGGACTTTTGTTAAGACGCCCACCCAGCGGAACGTCAGCCATACTGGGGCATGACACACACAGTCTTATTTCCGCCAGCCTCGCACCCGTGGCCCAAAGCACTGGCCGGCGACGCTCCCAGCTCCCAGTTGTGGCGGGGTTAGCGGTAGGCGCGCGATAGGCGGCCGAGCCGTGCGATACGGTATATCGGGCGGGCGCGTCTCGGCAGGGCCTGCCACGTCATGAGCGGCTGGCTCGGCTGCTGCGACTGCCTGTGCCCGCCGGCGCGGACACTGCGCCACGCGCGCGCCATGGCGCCCGGCCGCAGCAGGCCTGCGCGGCACGGCCTCCACAACCCGGCCTTCCAGCACGACGAGTCGTCGGCCAGCCGCTCGTCAACGGTGAGTGGACGCCAGGTCCGGCTCGCCGCCGTCGGTACGGACGTGCGGTGGGGCTCACGGAAGGAGACCGGGCGAGAGTCTGGGCTCCTAGACGGCGTGAATCAGTAGCCGGGCTCTCAGGAATCTGGCAGCTGATGTGGACCAGCAGATGTCTGTCCGATGTCTGTCCGTCTGTCCGATGGCGTTGACCAGAGGCCGTTAGTCGTGTGAACCCATGCCGCTTCCCTCTGACTGTCCGGGGGCTTCGCTGGCCGGCCAGCCACGTTTTATCGCCAGTCCTGTAGCTGTATCTTCACTATCCTCGAGAAACTCCAGGTCTTGTCAGCGGAGCAGGATGGCTGAGGGTCTTGCGGACGCCGACGGCTCAGCCCTCAGGGATCTCCGTCCTGTGCCCGTCTGGTCTCTCAGTGGTCTTTTCAGCTGATCAGGGGCATTTCTGTGTAATGAGGGACCACTCTGACTATAGAAGAGTCCTCTGGCCGTTTGGATGTTCCTGTGGCTGTTGGGGTCCCACAAGCGGTATTCGGATAAACAACCGAAATGCGCACAGCCAAAAGTCTTTTGACGGTTGTATTCAATGGACCGCTTTTTTGCCAACGTGTCTTTCCCCCGACCTGTCAAATGAACGAAATGTAAGGGGCCTGTTTTCCCCCGAACAGCCACGGCTTGTCGCCCTCCGTAGCTTCATTGGTATTAGCTCCCGGCCATCCCACCCCACCCGTGATAGTATGTGGGCTCAAGTCGCTTTGCACGTGCTCGCAGGGGTCCATCCGGGCCAATAAAACACGGAAAGGGAGGGGGATGGGGAGCATACCAGTGAAAACTCACCGCGTAGGTGTGGTGGGGGTGGGCCTCTGCATTCTCGATCTTGGCTGCGTTTGTGGGCGCTCGCCATTTGACTTCTGGCTTGAATCGTCTGCGGCCGGTGGCAGCGGCTGTTCAATGTCAGGAAGGTCAAAGGGCAGGGGGACCGTGCCGAGGATTACAGGACCATCAACTTTTTCATGAAGATCTGCTGTAGAATTGAAATTTCACAATAGGAAGGTGGGGTCCTAGAGCGCACACAACAATCCTGTTTTGCGTGAGCTCTGATCTCAAAATCATCAAATCAAAAGGGTTTTAAAGACAATTATGACAACAATAAAACGGACCGGATTATGGACCGTAGCTAGAGTTCTCGGCCTCCGGCTCAAACGGGGCCCGGGTCCGTTTTAGAGCATGGGCCCAGGGACCCTGAAGGCCTCTTGTTGTCTCACTGTGATAATTTCAGTGTCATTTGTTTTGTTTCCATTGCTTGTCAGGCAGGAGGACCTCGACCAACGCCAGTGGCTCTCTGACATTCAGGGTCCCGTCATGTTTCTCTTCAGCAAAACGTGTCTCTGCTCGACCAGGGGCCCCTTGCCGACACAGGCTCCACTATCAGGCACTCTATGCCTCGATACAGGGCACAGAGTGCCTGACAGGGAGCCTATTTCAAGGGCCCCGCCAATGCAGAAGGCCTTCAGTAACAATCGCGGACACCGTTCTTGTCCCTGCTTCGTTAATGGGCCCTTGGGTCCACGCTGACGCAGAGCCAGCCGCTCAGCGTTGGCGGTCTCGGACCTACATAGGCGCCTGTACTTGCTTCGTTAATGGGCCCTTGGGTCCACGCTGACGCAGAGCCAGCCGCTCAGCGTTGGCGGTCTCGGACCTACATAGGCGCCTGTACTTGCTTCGCTAATGGGCCCTCGGGTCTACGCTGACTCAGAGCCAGCTGCTCAGCGTTGGCGGTCTCGGACCTACATAGGCGTTTCCGTCGTCCCGGGGACCCCCGACAGGCGCAACGAGTCTTTTTGACTGGCCTCTGAGAGCGGACCTTCGCCCCGGGGTCGTCCTCCGGCCAGCTCTTCGGCCCTTCAATCGGGTCCTCGATAGTCTGTGCCGACGATCCAGCAGGCCGCGCAGGGTCTAGCGTGAGATATGTCCTGTGCCTCCCCCTCCCCCCCCCCCCTATCACCAGCTGCCTGCGCCCTGGACGTGTAGGTATGTACGCAACGCGGTGATAGTCAGCGATTCGTTCTCAGAAAGCAACTCCAAAGTAGATAATGGCTTCTTCGTCCCAAAAACATTCGTGAATTGCTGCCAGTTTGGTTTAAGAGATGGTCGCTTTTGCTGGTGAGCTGAATATACTAGATTCTGGTACCAATTCTTGATTTCCTACTATATCCTGTTGATTTCCTTCATCCATTTGACGGATCCTCAGTCAATCTGGTAAATAAAATTGTTGTTTCTAGACATTCCTTCATGTATTTGGCGACTTAAGTAGGCACTACGTTCAACGGCCTCGTTAAATTGGTGGTGAAATCATCCATATTGGTGGTAATAATCCAATCGGTGGCAGTAAATTGCTCTTGTAAATTGCTCTTGTCATACCATTGTTGGCTAACTTTGATGGAACATAGAAAACTTCAAACGCGCGTAAGTTCAGTATCATTGCCACATATACAGTATAACGCTACAGATTCAGGCAAGGTCCACAGAGGTCAACAGAAGTCAATGACCCCGACGGATTTACACCAGGTGACGAAATTGCGGACAAAACAATGTCTTCGGCCTACATTTACTTGAATAACAATAAGGAAATGGCCGCTTTTTCATTTTCGTTTTCCCCTGGTCAACCTGCAGACGCATATCATAATCCGTTTTATTGAAATATGTGTGCACTGCCTGACTCGCGATATATCTGCACCGAAAGGTGTGATAAAGCTGAAACTCGCCCCGGGTAGTGCAGCCTTGTGGTAGGTTTAACCAACCCATTGCGCTGGGCTTCGGACGCCCCTCTTCCGCCCCGTGAGCGTTCGAGACAGGTGAAGGTGGCCGGCGGGCCGCGCGGGGCTGCGTGATTCAGAGGGGGTGTGAGTACTGCGTAGTTCGTATCGGAGGACGGATGGTTAGGCGCCCGCTAGCGGTGAGCTGGCCTACCCGTTAGTTGTTATCTAAAGACAGCAAAAGAGTCAAGCGCGGGAGGTCTGTGAGGACGTTAGAGTGGCAAGAAGCTGTATACGGCGACACGAAGTTAGGCACGACCGTGTCACCAGACCGCTAGCGGCCACCCGGGGGCGCCCCCGTACGGGGTTTGATACGCTAGAAAAAAAATCCCCATGGTGTTCGACTTCTAGTTCCCGAGCCGTTCTAAATAGAAACTGAAACGTGGAGGCTTTGTAGGAGGGTCTCTTAAAACGGGTTTCAGAAAACAGTACAAGAAAAGGCTGAGGATTATCTTGACACGTTATGTCCGTGACCACTAATGCCTCATAAGTTACACTTTATGTTCGAACCACCTATTGCATTACATGAAATGTTCCCACTTACGCAATGTATCACACACATCACAATGCAATGTGGCGTATCACACTAATGTAATGTATCAAACCTTTTGCTTGAAAACGTAGTATAAGGGATTACGATACGCTAGGCGTCATGATACATTAGGTGTTGTAATACATTCCGAGTCGGGATACATTAGGGGTTATGCTATGTTAGGAGTAGCGATAGTGTACGGGTTACGGCACGTAAGGTGCTACGATACGTTAGGCGTTGTGAAGCATTAATGTTTTTGATATATTGGGCGTTACGATACATAGGTGATAACAAATATAAGGGCTTCCGACACTGACCCTAAATAGTGACTTCCAGAGGAAAATAAAGGAGCAGGTATCCCATCGCAACGGTACGCCGCGTCGCGTCCGTTCTATTTTAGAGCCGATTCATCAACTCCTAACTCTGCCTTTGTCAAATCATCAGCTTTCAACTTCACTTATGTCAAATTATCAACTTTCAACTTAACTAATCCACTTAACTGATGGCGAAAGGTTGGTGGAGCGTGTGTGTGTCGTCGGGAAGTTTTGCCGACGACCAGCCGTTCCGCGCCATATTTCGGTGACAGTCGCCGTCTGCTTACTGCGGTAAGCTGATATGTACCGTGGCAACCGTCATATGTGACGGTTTGCACGGTGGCGTCCTACAGTTGCTGGAGGAAGTCGTAATGCGTCAGGCGGTCTGAGCTCTACAGCGACCGCAGGCGCCTCACGCGTGCATATCTGGACTGCAGTCGTTTCCCCTTTGTGGTACAATGCCCCCCTGAAGTCGAAGCGCGCCTAAGTCCACTGCCACTGTCGTCGCGCGCTGCTCTCCGGCCAGCTGGCGGTGCGCAGGACCGATCCTCACCTCTTCATCCTGAGTCCCGGTAACACCCTGACTCCAAAGCCGGCGACCTGCGGCCGTTAGTCACGATCAGATTTAAGTGATGCCCTGGCGGAATGCCCCGATGTCCGGGCGCCCGGAGAAGGGCCCCGAATCTCGACGAAGCCCGAAGAAGGGTTCCTGCACGGAATGAGGCTTGGTAGCGGGGGACTCCCAGATGACCGCTGTCTTGCCCAACACCGACCTCGTCCCTTCACTCTGTAGCCCTGGATTTGCTGAATTTGTCAGGGCTGAACGAATTGGTTTGGGCAATCCAGGGGTGGGCAAAATTAACCCGAAATTTGGCCTCCGTTAAAGTCTCTTCGTCAACTCAGTGAGTTTACTAAATTGAATTTATCCCGTTAAACTACTAACTAAAGCTGCGCAAGTGTAAGTTAATTTGTACATTGACTTGCCTTTGATTTCCAGCATTCGATTTAAAGGTTTCTTAAAACCGTTCAAATGGCGGAAATAACTAAACTGTATCATCTGCCGTCCAATCATCGGTTGGAATTCCTTTGCTAGGTGTGCGTGCACTTCACAATCTTATTATTTTTCTGAAAGGTCATGGACTAGACCTCGGCATTCGCTATAATTTGAAATTCAAATTCCATGGTGGGTGGATTGGGATTTGTAATCAGATGCGAGGCTCAACTTGACTGAAATAGAAAGGAATACGTTCGATTTTTTCTATCAAAACTTCGAGACTTAATGCCGTTTAGTTCCCACTTCTAAACCAATTGCATCGGTTCCTGGCAAACTGTGTCCAACGCTTCTGCCAGTGATACATACTGCATTTCTAACTCGGCCAAAAGCAGGGAAGTTGTTGAGTTGTTGAGTCGGAGTTGAGCCAGGCATTGGTCCAAGCCTTGCAGGTGCAGAAGTTTTGTTTTTGGTGAGGCATGGACCAGTTATAGACTTATCCATACCATGCGTAGTGGAGAGGTCTCTGGAGTGTAACAAGGTGGGCACGGTGTCGCATCCTTACCCCTAAATGCTAGTTTGCATGAGACATGGGAAGGCAACTTATAAGGGGGCTAAGAACTGTGCGGGTGTGCAACCATTGCGGGGAAAGCTTCGATACATGGGTACAGGTGCCATCCGGCGAAAGCTGGCCTCGTTAGCCATCTTACGCCCGATGGGGCTGGGCTTCAACACGTTCGCATTCGAGGACTTCTGTACGTCATACGCGTTACAGAAAGGGTGGAGTGTCAGATCCGTCCCATCCTGTCTGCAGCCTCAAGGACCGTCAGTGCCATTGCGACACAAAACTTACAGGGTTTGAAATTGAGCCACGAAGCCTGCAGGGATATATATATATATATATATATATATATATATATATATATATATATATATGTGCGTGTGTGTGTGTGTGTGTATGCACAACGTCCAGTGTTTTGAAAAAATTTGCACCTAGAGCATATCTGCATGCATTGATTTGAACATTCCTATAATGGAGTTCAGTATTCGGCAGTGGCTTTAAGGACTCGAATCCTAATTTTCGCAGCTCGAATCCCCATTTTCAGGATTCGGGATTCACAAGATCCACAGCTGTCCAGGTGTCTTCTAGTCCAGCTGACTTAAGCCCTCAGTGTAATGTTATGCCCACTTCCTCCACCACTTCCCGGGAAGCTTTTCCACCATAGCGGCTCCATCACCCTCCGGCCCATGATGAACGCCCAGAACTATTCCTACGACGCCTATGTTTCATCCGGATTTCCAATACTGTCAGTGATGTAAGAAATTTAAAGCTCATTTGTGAGCGAACTCATCGTCAAAAGCGTCTACCAAACTTTGGATACATGCCTGCCACAGGCCATAGGCATCAAAGCAGACGAATGTCGCCGCCATGAGCTGTGGCACCCTGGGCACTGTGGCGCAAGTATCGGCGCAGCTTGCTTACAGCGCCACCGCGCTCGTCCTGCTCGGGGCATTGGCGCCGTTAGATATGCAAAAAGCTTTTGTTTTCAAACGCATGATCTGCGTTTCATTATCATACAGGTATCGACAGAAGATTGCTAATGGAACAAGTTATGGCACCTTGCATCTAATTGTTTAGGTAAAAACCCTCATGGCTTTTGTTTTGACAGTAACTGTATGGTGAAAATATACCACGCAGTATGAATGGGCTGATTCTGTAGAGCACAACACGGAATGAGAGACAATTGCCCGAGACTTTGTTGACAACGATATGAATTGGGTGTAACAAGTAGTTTTTTTTTAGTAAATTGAGTCAAGTAGTTTTGAGGTCCCAAGACTTGTTATGTGGCTTATGATTAGGTACCGTCATTGAAAAGAATGCGGCTCAAGTTACGAGCACAGGATTTTGATTAAAAGGTGCCAGGAAACAGCCCCACCCTACCCTCATTCGGCAATACAATAAAACAGAATCATAATATGATTTGAGTTCATGACAATGTATGAAATTAAATACAAATTATTGGCTCAGAGTCAAATGTAGTTTCTAGGGTCTCAAGGTGTTAGGTGTCAGTTATGACTTGGTGCCGATATTGAAGAAGAACGTGGCTCAAAAAGCGTACACAGTATTTCAATCAGGAAGTGTTAGGAGCCAGCTCCCACCCCACACCCAAACGAGTGAACATGAAGCTTACCAACGTTCACCGTCGTCTCTTCATAACTCATATCCCTAGGGGCTAAACCCTTTCATTCCTGTTACGCTATGGGCTCCTACCTACCATGGTCTGAACTTCATATCTGATCCTAGTTTAATGGAATTTCTTATTGCAATTGTTGTGTGGCATAAGAAGCTATCTCAGAGATGTGTGGCTTCGTTCAACACTCCGTTGTTGCATCACATTGAACGATTTCCTAGAAATTTTCTGTAATGAATCCATGGTCTGACTTTGGCCTGCCGTAGGTCAGCGACCTGATAAGGTATCTCTAAATTTTAATGCTAAACAATCTGCTATTCAGTTGTCTATAGCTATGCATCGCGGTTCGGAAACCATCCCAGAAAAACCTAAGGAGGAAATCAAATTAACTCCCACCCGAGAGAGTGTTACGCTCAAAAGACCATAGCAGATTTCTCAAAGAAAATCAGCGGTTTCAGGCTATCGGGTGGACACGGAAGTGTATGTGCACGTAATAACTTTTCGACGTTAACGAAAGTGTATATCCGTCACGAAAAATCAACCATCCAATTCACTGATTAACGGTTTAGAGGATTCGTGGCCTCCTCTGCTCTAGTCCCTGCTAAACAAAACCAAACCAAGCAGCTCGCAGACATGTGTAGCGGGGCATGGTAAATGCTGTTCATTGGCACACGGCATCTTAAGCTGTTAACCGGTTTACATAGCACTTACAATCAGGGTTGGCGCTCGCCCGCTGTTAGTTCTTGAGCCGTTGTTCCTTTGTATTCGTTTGCGACATGGCCACCGCCCGGCCAACTGCTAGCGAACGCGCTCTGATCGCAATCATTTGGCGAGTGCAAATGCATTTAAACTGTCAGCCGCTGCCCACCAGGCCAATCACTGATCGTGGAGCCTATAGGTACGTCAGGGCCCGCAGTCGGCTCTGGCGCCGAAAGGCACCAACGGTGGTAAACGCACGAGTTAAATGAATGCAAAATCGGGCACCTTCGGGGCACATGCAGATGAGCAATGACCGACACGCGGAGCTTCTGTTTCAGAAGACTGAGGCAACCGGCTGAAATCAGCCGTTGGTCGGTCAGCTTGCTGAAAACACACCTCAGGCCGTTGTACAAACGGCTAAAAAGCAAAACTTGCTCGACCGTAAGCGCGTTTATATGTGGAAACATACGTGACATTCATTCGCCCTTCGATCCGCATGCAAGTTTTTCACAAAAAGCGCCTGATTCTTCGGAAACCGTGATCAGTTGCTTAAACAACGGCCGCTTTCCAGCCGTGGAGCCGTGTCTGGTATTGTATGTGTGCTATGCGCCGGTGCTGTCACGCTGCGGCTGCTGACGACTACTAGTTCACCCGGTTCAGTGTCAAGTTGCGGCGTAGATAAGACCTGAACAACACCACATACTTATACTTGTTGCGATGCGTGTAAAGAACTTCGCGCGCTGTGCTGCGCTTCATCTGTATTAAAAAACGTGCTCGCCGCTATCGTTGGCTGTCTGTTCTGACTGGAGAGAGGTGATCTGTCTGTTGTGACTGCAGGGAGAGGTGATCTGTCTGTTGTGACTGCAGGGAGAGGTGACCTGTCTGTTGCGACTGCAGGGAGAAGTGAGCTGTCTGTTGTGACTGCAGGGAGAGGTGATCTGTCTGTTGTGACTGCAGGAAGGGGTGGCCTGTCTGTTGTGACTGCAGGGAGAAGTGAGCTGTCTGTTGTGACTGCAGGGAGAGGTGATCTGTCTGTTGTGACTGCAGGGAGAGGTGACCTGTCTGTTGCGACTGCAGGGAGAAGTGAGCTGTCTGTTGTGACTGCAGGGAGAGGTGATCTGTCTGTTGTGACTGCAGGAAGGGGTGGCCTGTCTGTTGTGACTGCAGGGAGAAGTGAGCTGTCTGTTGTGACTGCAGGGAAAGGTGATTTGTCTGTTGTGACTGCAGGGGAAGGTGATCTATCTGTTGTGACTGCAGGGAAAGGTGATCTGCCTGTTGTGACTGCAGGGAGAGGTGCAGTCCCGGACTCCGTGCGATCTACGAGCGGCAGCCTCGACATGTCCAGCCTGGCGGGACGAAGACGGCGGCTTCCAACCGTTCGAGGCGTCCAGCCGAGACCGGGAAAAGGCTGGGGCGTCGCCGCCGGACGGGCAGCACGCCACCGGTCAGGTGTTGTCGTCCGCTCACCTCGGTCGAGACGACCCGCTGCCGGACGAGCTGCTGGCGCCGGAGCTGTTTCGGTCCGCTAGCCCGTTGGACATCATCCCCGAGATGGCCGACGAGAAGGACCATGCCGATGCGAGCCGTGAGAATGCTGGCACGGAGCGGCGCCAGGCTGACGCGCGCGAGCGGCCGTCAAGGACGCGCGTGAGGCGAGGAGACCACACTGACAACGCTGCTGAGCTGGAGCAGCGAGCCGAAACAGCGCCGGAGCGGTCTCACAATCCGGAGGCCGCCGCCCGGCCAGATGAGGTTCCGCAGGCGTCGCCGCACTCCCCAACCGGTCACAAGCGTCTCCGGCCGTCCAGGTTACGCCTTTGGCCGCACGCGCACCACCGGAGCGCGCCGCTCGCGCACGAGCCGGCCGCCGAACGTCCCTGGTTCCAGCGGCTGACGGGACGCCACCGGTCCGCCGCTGACCACTTCTCTGACCCGCTGGTGCCGGAGCGGGGCGACGATGCAGAGGAGAGGGCCTCGACGCACACTGCACGCCGTCACCGCACGCGGTTTGGAGTGGGCCGCGGCGGCCGGAGGCGGGCCTCGAAGGGCTCGTCAGCGGACGACGAGCGCAGCAGCAGCGTCGACAGCGCGCCGCCGGCGCCGGCGCCGGCCGCGCGGCGTTGGGCTGTCATACGCGAGACCTTCGACATGGACGTACCGCTGTCGCATCAGTGGAACTTCCTCGAGTCAGTTGGGCAGAGCTTCCCTACGGTGGACGCGAAGTCGTACCAGGAGCACGTGCGCCAGCAGACGCCCGTCACCAGCTCCTCCAGCGAGGAGGAGGTGCCAGACCCGCAAGAAGCGCGGCTCATGCTCAAGCTGGCCCAGTCTAAAGACATCAGACCAGACAAGACGCCAACGCTCGAGACGCTCGCCAACGCGGTTCACCGCCGCAAGAGCGGCAGCGTCGAACGGAAGAGTCTGCCGCCGGAGAAGAGATCGCCGTCGGCGGCCGACAGCGCGACCCCAACGCTGTCGGAGCAGGAGCGCCGTGCAGCCAGCTGCCCACCGCCGGAGAGCGGGGCAGGGGCAGGCGCGGCAGACGGTGCGGAGGCGGCGCCGCACGACAGGCGGCACTCCCTTCTCGGGTGGCTGCTGCCAACGCAAGGCCGCGGCGGGCGCAGGGCCTCCGTGCCTGTCCGAGTGCCCGAGACGCCAGCCGTCGAGTCAGCGGTCCACGTGAGAGGCGCTACCTGGTTCCAGCAGGCGGCTGACGACGAGCCCGTCGACGTCGCGAAGATCCCGACGCCGGAGCGGGCGCGGCAGCGGCGCGCCACCGTCGCCGAGGTGTCACTCAACCACTTCTTGGAGGACGTGGACCAGCGGGCGCGCGAGCTTCGCGAGGAGGAGTTCTGCGGCGCCGACCCGTACCAGGTGCTGTCGCCCAGCCAGCTGGAGGTCGACGATGACCACGTGGTGCCGATGGTGGACTCACAGCGCTGCGTGAAGCTGATGCTGGCGGATGCCGAGTGGCGGCTCCAGCGGGAGTACGACCAGACGCCGACGCCGACGCCGACCTCGTACCGGTCGTCCCGTTCGGCCACGCCGGAGATGCGGGAGCTGTCTGGCTCGGCCGACAGTCCGGCAGAACGGTCGCCAAGGAGCGACGACCGGCAGACTCCGTCTGGCTCGTCCCTGTCCGGAACGGTGCAGGGCTTGCCGGCGACCGTGCTCGCATCACTTTCGAGTTTGAAGACTGACTCGACATCTCCCCCGAATTACATAGCCGCCTCCGCACCTTTGCTGGAGCCTGACACTGCTTCAGTGCCGTCTTCCAAATACGACTCCGAGGCTTCCTCGAAATGTCAGCCATTGGCGAAGCCTTCCCCGAAGCAGCAGCGTTCACCAACATGTCTCGCTAATATTGCAGCAGCATCCGAAGGTTCTGCAAAATTAAGCAGATCGCCAGCTGTTTTCTCGAAGCAGCCAGTGCCATCCTGCCCATCTCCATTGTACAACGCGGCACACTCATCCACGATTACATCATCCAATTCTAAAATCGCACCACCTGCACAAACACAGCAGAGCAGTTCGCCACCAGGACCGTCTAAACATGACGAACCGGCGCCCAATGCCCCGAGCTCCCAACTGGCAGTGGTTGTCTACCGGCCGCCCCCTATCACACCCGCACGCCTGTTACAGACCACTCTGTGTCCGGAGACCAATCCACACCAGGAGACGAGCCCGGGTCAGTCGACGACCTCGCGGGCGGTGCAGACCTCGCCCGGCACCGTCTCGCCGGTGGGTGCGGCCCCGGATGCCGACAGCGGCCGCACGGCCAGCCAGGCGGTGCAGACGTCCCCCGCCGAGCCCGCTGGACCGGCGTCGCGGCCCAGCAGCGCCGATCAACCAGTGACGCTGCCGCCGCGCCTGCTCGCGCGCAGCCGCCCCTGTGGCGTGGCGCGCCGTCTGGACCGGCCGGCGGCCGCCGCCCTGCGCCTGCGCCTGCAGGGGGAGCAGCACGCCGTCGACGAGCGGCGGCGAGCGCTGCTGCGCGCGCGGGCCGAGCGGGCCGCCGCGCTGGCCGTCGGCCCGCGCGTGGCGCCGCCACGAGGAGCGGGAAGCTCCGCCGACGCTGCGACTTCGCCAGCGACGCGGCGGAGACCCGCGGCCCGAAACGCAGCGGCGCCACCCGACGGCAGTGAATCTCAGGGCGTTGGAGAGTCGCCTGGCTGATGGTGCAGTGACGGGGTCATGCCACGGCCGCATGGTCGCTCAGCTCAGCAGGTCTACCAGCCGCGGTCGACAGCTGGGACCTGGGCTTCAGGCGGCCGCACTGCGAGGGTCACGACTCTCGTCGTGAATAAGCACGCGCAAGTGATATGAAATCTCTTCAGTTTTTTTACGGCATCTTCGACCGGGACAAGGACGGAGCTTACCGACTGAAATCGCGTGGTGTTCAAGCGATTGATGGACAAATACAATGGATTGGACTACCGCAAGGGACAAAGCTCTGCGGCTGTAAATCGCGATGCATAATGGCCAGATGACCGCAGACATAGACGCCCGATATCAGGCGCGTGCCACCCCGTCCAGACGGTTGCTGCTGGGAGACCATAAGTGCACCGCTGCTAGAACACGTCTCGATTTCGGTCTTTTTATGTCACGCCTTGTAACTGCACATTGACGTAAAGACATCACCGTACGGCAAAGCAAACCAAACTAGGTCCTTGGCACTTTACATTGCTGTAAATATACCAGCACTGCGTGCTTTATGCGAGTGCATACCTGTGAATGAGCCTGCGATACCTGCGAGTGAATCTGTTTGTTCTTCATTTGAAAGCCTGACTAGTGTTGAGGATATCTTTTCACTATTTCCCCGAAAATGTGATTTTTTTAGAAACAATTCTCACTCAGCATATACATATATATATATATATATATATATATATATATATATATATATATATATATATATATATATATGTATATATAGGGTCTTAGGCCAGGTGAACACGAAACAACGTCCAATAAATGCACCTCACAACTTGGAGATGTCCTTCACTGGCGCCTTGATACGGCCATGAAATGTCTTACTTCCGCACATTCGCATTGATGTCGCAGGCTATCTTCAAGACAACAGTAGGATGGACTTCTACCCCACGTACGCAAAAAATCGGGATGATATAACAGTAAAGTATTTAAAGTCCGGCGATTTCAGAACATCGGTAAGGGACCTCATATACAGCGCGTTATTATATATTTTGCAGGCCGTCCACATTCCACGTAGCTTCTGCGGCACCTCATTATGTATTCCGCAAGCCGACCGCAATCCATGTAGCCTCTGCAGCTGGTAATTGCTTACAATTGCCGCATTATGAAGATATGAGGCATTCGAATGCGACAGACTCTCCGGTAGTCACATGTAAGGCCAAGTTTTGTCATCTTCTGTTTACATGTATTACAGCATAACATGTCGAAACAAAGCGCATTATAGAATAACACATAGAGCTGCCATTGATATGGTCCACGGAATACTTCCACGGCTATAAAGGTACCGTCTAAGGAGCACTTTATTAGTACTGGTGGCATCACGGCCTACAACAGGTTGGTTGTTAGCCCCCTAGACACGAAAACACTTTTAGATGAACACCCAAAATTCGTGTAGCCCCACTGAGCAAGAGACGTGCAAAATATAAACGTGCAGCAGTCTATAGTGCCCTAAGCGGAGCAGTCGTGGAGCAGCATATAGTGCCCCGAGTGTTCCACGTGAAGCAGTAAACTAAGAGTCACGCGCCTAGCGGTACAGCACGACGGTGGGTTTCCGGTGAGTTTCCGGTGGGTTCCGGTGAGTTTCCGGTGAGTTTCACGGCGGGAACAGCATGCTATTGCAGTGCCGCGCAAGCTGATTAAGGTCCACTGAGACATCGCAGTCCTCGACACCAGGAACACAACACGTCACGCATCCGCCACGCACACCCGCGGACGAGCGGCACCGCCACCCACAGCTGACATCACACAACATATGAACAGTCCGAAACTACAGCCGACCCGTGCATTGGCGTCGCTCCTTGTAAGCTATCACGCGGCAGGTCACAACACACCGAGTCGCGACCTAAGCTGCCCCGCACTGCGAATGCCGCCCAGGCATCGACCTGACGGGCTAAACGTCGGCCACCGATACGATCGGAACGGGTTCGCCTCGCCCGCGTGAGACACATTGTGTTAAGGAGGGGACACTCGAGACAAAGCTTGACTGTGCGACGTACATACGTGTGCGTCCGATTCAGCCCAGAAACCAGTTTTCCCAGTTCTAGGCTGTTCCGAGATTAAACTTAAAATCAGACGAGCGGAGTTACTCACAAGGGAACCGAAACTCGCCGCCCGGCGTGATGCCTCGCCAATATCACAAACAATAACAACGATCATCCACATCACCCGTGGTGCCAGATTGACGACTTTAGATCTGGCCCACTTTGTTGATAGATGGGGAAACCCAATGGCTTGCCTACTGCTCGCTTCGAGTGACTCAGGTGTGTATGCGTGTGACTGTGTGTTTGCGTGTGACTGGGGCTTTACGACGCACTCAACTGCTGAGACTATGTGCCGTCGCCTGCCTCTCACCGTCAGGAAAGGGGTGGGGGGGGGGGGGGGGCATCGCGGGGAATCGAGCCCCGTACCTCTAGTTTCCCCAACGCGAGTACGTCATGATATATTCGCGAGATGGCAAACACCTTTTAAATCCTAAAGGTGGTAATGACTGCGTCCCCATATAGCCCGGCGGGTATGCGTGCGTGACTTGACGCACTCCCATCCCCACACGCACTTATGACACGCAAGACCCATCCGCGATCCAAGCTGTGCAGCAGCATTGCTTCCCACGCCGATTGACACGTTCACCTGACAGACATGGGCGAGTGAGTTGGGCATCCTTGCCGTCCGACGAGACGCTCGTGGAAGCCCAGCACGATACGTGCGTGCGTGCGTGCGTGCGTGCGTGCGTGCGTGCGTGCGTGCGTGCGTGTGTGTGTGTGTGTGTGTGTGTGTGTGTGTTGACCAGTGGCGGGTACGGTGGGGACGGATCGGCTGCGGACATTTCATCTATCCGCGGAAGACCGGCATCATACGACAGGAAGGTCACACGCTACGCCCGACGACACAAGACACTAAGGAGAGCAGTGAGACACGAGATCGCTGGAGATGACACTGAACTGAACCAGTGCTAGCGTTGCCTTGACAACGGACGGCTTGCTATTGCACATTGTTACGGCATTACCGCCCAATCGAGCAGGTGCCGCGACCAAACACTGAACACTTACCACACCAATCTGTGGCACCGCTGGACTGCACAGGTACCGACTCACAACACGAATACGCGCAGCGGTCCGTCCACGGCCCAGACGACACCAACACCCGCCAGACACCCGTCAGTGCCGACACCACCGCCGGTCGGCAGGGGACCACTGACGTCCCGCACGCCCGTCGCGACTATGCGCCACGTCAGGTGTCCACACAGAGAACCGCCACCACCGCCAGCTCCCCAAGCAGGCCGGAAGACGACACCCTCGCTCTCTCGCGATGCCGGTGTTTGTGCCAGACAGCGGGGTAAACCGAGGGTGTGGCAGACACAGTGTGTCACACGGCCTGTGGAGTCAGCACTAGCTCTAGCAGCCCCCAGCGCCCAGACCCCGACATGTGGCGGGCGGGGCCCAGCCAGCACGCCGACCGTGCCCGGCTCGTGCTGCTGCGGCTCTCAGTCGGGAGCGGTCAGCTCTCGCTCGGCCAGCGGCACACAGTGGTGCGCCGCTCCGCACTGGCCCCGGAGACACCCACGCATGCCCGCGGCCAGTGCACACGGCCAGCTGCCGGCTCGAGCAGCGGCGCGACCAGACACGGCAGCCCAGCAGCCCTGCGCGGCGCGGGCGGGCCTGCCAGGAGAGACGGCCGCCCGGCGGGGCAGGTTGTTTCGCTGGGTGGGGTCAGTTCAGGTCAGGTCAGGTCAGGTCAGGCCAGGCAAGACCAGCGTCAGAGGTCAGAGCCGCGTCTTGGCCTCGAACAGCTCCAGCTCGACCGTCGGAGCGTCGCTGTTCAGCTTCGCCCGGCTGGGGGACGGCTCCTGCCGGACAGACAGGGCAGGTCACATCTAGCCGTCTTACGAAATTCAACAAAACCGGCAGACTTTCCCGACGACGCTCCAAACAAACATCATCTGTTTGCGCTATTTAAAGCCATCACGGCAGACACCACCGCGTTGCTGAGACCGTGTTTACCAAGTGCCACAAATCAAACCGATTTTCAGCGAAAAGGACCGCCGCCTCAGACGCCACCAGCGATAACCGATCGCCGACAACAGGCTCAGAACGGCACGAGGCCGCGCTGCGACCCATCAAGTTCTTCCAAATTTCGTGAACAAGCTCAATGATCTCCCTGCACGCGAAGCCTGTCATGCATGGGTGCCAGGGCGGCCGCAATGGTCTCATGGCCATATAAGTCCACATTATCAAGTTTGTTGGGAGAGAAACAGATCCCTGCTGTTAAAAATAGCAGTTGGTGCTAACTACACACCATAAACGAGTCCTAAATTTGTTCCCTGTACATATTCCTAATGTAACAATCGCGCTGGCGTACAACTCAAACTTTTAAGAGCACTAGAGTGATTGTGGCATGACCGATCTATATGGGCGTCTCGTTTGATTTTGAACCAGTTCGCCGTCTGGCTTCTAGCAATCTTGTGCTTTGAATATCTGAGATTCTGTGAACTCTGCGCAGCTTAACCGAACCCAATCTAACTGAAACTAACTGAGGTATATGTCATTTTCAACCGCCGTGCTCCAGATTCTTTAAGTCCACTAAGCCACGCACTTCAGCCGATTTCCGCACTGCACTCGTCAGAGCTAGGAAACACAAACACTGACAGTGCCGCTGAAGCCAAGTCTTCGCACCCTGCAGTCTAGACTGAATATATCAGTTACACTATAGCTCAACCTGCATCCTACCAGATCCGTTGCAGTTAACGTTGCATGCCGCCTGGCACCAGTGTGGCAGGTGAGAGGCCTGCTGCGCGCTGGGCACCACTGACCTGAGAGCCCCAGCGCCGGAGGAACTAGACGACCGGAGGGCTGGGGGGCCTGCCGCGCGCTGGGCACCACTGACCCGTGAGTCCCAGCGCCGGAGGGCTGGGGGGCCCGCCGCGTGCTGGACACCACTGACCTGAGAGCCCCAGCGCTGGAGGGCTGAGGGGCCCGCCGCGCGCTGGGCACCACTGACCTGAGAGCCCCAGCGCCGGAGGAGCCAGGCGACCGGAGGACTGAGCAGGCTGTGCGGCACCGCGGGGTCGCGTGGGCCGACCAGCGACGCCAGGCCGCCCGCCGCGCACGTCACCGCGAACCCGATCATCGAGATCCACATGTACGAGATCCGGTACAGGTAGAAGTACTTCTCACTGGAGCAGAAAAGACGGTCGACCCGGGCGTTGGTGAGAGATGCTGTGCGGGACATGAAGGGTCTCCTCGCTCACGCGGGCGCTCAGTCAGATCCATGCGTAACATTTTTGGTAGGGGAGAAGGAACAGCTCTCCAGTGGACTCAACCGTTGCAGTCGATTACCACGGATTACATTCTATTTGAATTTTACCCACTTCGTCCACCATAGGATTGAGCGGTTCAAAGTTAAGGTAGCATTGCTAAAAGGAACTTATTGCACGTCACCGGTTCACAGGTACTATCCGGCGAAGCCTCTTTTCATAACAACTTAGCTTGCGCGCCAGGCAAACTATCACTTTATCAAACGCGAAACAGCAGCACATTCCCCGGCCATAGACAAGAAACATGCAAACCCAGAACCACCGAGAGACCGCCTACGGAATTCTAGAGCCACGCCAGCGCGAAGCGTGCAGCAGCTGGACACCGACCTGGCTTGGAGCGGGCTGGCGGTGCCGAGCAGTACGGCTGTGCTGTTGTCGTCGGTGCCGTCGTCGATGCCCTCGTAGTCGGGCACCACCACGCCGGCCACGTGCGTGCCATTGTAGCACAGGTCGCTGGAGACGGGCAGAGCCACCGGGGCGGGCTTGGGTGCGAAGCCGATCCACAGGGTAAGCGCCAGACCCAGCAGCAGGCCCGTCACAGCGCCCTGGCGGCGACGGCACACAGTCAACGGCACGGCACGGCACATGGCGCGGCACGGCACAGCAAGGCCGCTTAACGCCACGTGACTGTTGCTACATAGCCGGGGACAGTATTTTCATCTTTCTCGATGTGTTCCGTCCGGTCTTCAAAATTTTATCATTCATCCCTTACTGACTTTTCAATTTTTTTTTATCTCAGCACGCACTGCCTGAGGTCAGTGGTTACGCATTAAAAATATTTTCCCGTATTGCAACTGCAGTGTGTTTCATTAAAAGATGCCAATGCCAAAAAGTCTGACGGGCGTTAAAAACATGTACTGGCATGTGCATTTCTATTACAGATAGCCAACACATGCCATTTCTGTGCTTATAGGCCGTGTTCGTCAGCCTAGCCAAAGATATCCACCACGGCGGCCTCAATGTCAACGGACTTTTACAACTTGTATGACCCATACCTGCCGATCTCTCGCCAGCGGCGTGTCCAGCCGCTGAGCGCGGGGAGAGGAGGCCTGCGTCTTTAGCTCCCAAACCACATTGGTTGTGAGCCACCGACATAAATATCCGAAAATATGCAGCACTACTTGCCGGATAGCGCGTGGATGGCTGATTTTCTTGCACTTGATCTGGATTGCAGTTTTAAGCTGACGTTCAAGTGAAACCTGTATTTAACGCTGCTTGCCGATGAAACTCGAAGAATTGCGTAACGGAAGGTGAGCAAATCCCCTTAACATTTCGCAACGAAAGTTAAGCGCACTTCCGGAAAATTTCGGCCATTACTTCAAAGGTGGAAGGATGCCATTACAACTCCAGGCATCATCAACACTATTTATTTCTTAATATCTACAAATTCAGCATGCGCACGCCAAAGATCAATCTGAATTACTACATTGCAAGTCGCGGTGCACTTCAGTGATTTCGGCGGCCGAAACGCACGTTCCTCAGCACAATCCACAACCAAAATAGTACACCAACAATACGGCTGTGAGGTATATCCTCATGTCCAGCACTGCTTCAGTTCTGCGCAAAACTTCAAACAGCGGCGCGCCCGTCGGCGCCCGACACTACCGCAGCGAGGGAGACCAGCCGCCGGCGGCTGGCTCCAGCACGTACTCACCCGCTGGTTGGCGCAAGGCACAGCCATGCCGAGCGTGAAGACGCCAAGCAGCGGGCCGCCGACGGCGCCGAAGATGGTCAGCGACGCCGTCAGCACGCTCTTGCCCAGCTTGGAGACGACGTAGGACACGGCCAGGCAGAGCAGGCCGTAGCCGAGCGAGAGCAGCTTAGTGAGCGGCAGCTCCCACTCCTCCGGCTGCTGGGACCAGCACGGCACCATCTGCAGACCCAGAGCGGACGGCGGCGCTGAGGCGACACACTCACGAGGCGCGGGATAGGGCGAGAGAGGACACAGTGGAATACGCAGACGCAACGGGGAGCTGACTTCAGCGAGCTTCTGAACTTCAGCACGCGGCGACTGTCATGTCATGTCAATGATTCCACGAACACTGCAACACGCCCACAAGAAAACCGCGCTGCGATGCGCAAGCAATCTCCTCCTCCCCCTCCCCCCCCCCCCCCCCCCCCCCAGCTACGTGTTTTCTAATGGCGGGGCGAGCCGTACCCGGACATAGTCGTGGACGGTGACGGCAGCCAACGAGTTGACGGCCGAGGAGACGGTGCTGAGCGAGCCGGAGAAGATGCCCGCCACGAAGAGGCCGGGCAGGCCGGGGATGTCACGCATCGTGTCCATCACGAACCGCGGCAGCAGCTGAAACAACCGATCAACGCCTCCGTGATCCCAGCGCGCCATCCGAACAGCCACTACCGAAGGTTTCTGGCCGCAGGCTGACAGTCGGGGAGCTTTCGCTGATCGCAATTCCAGCCGGTGGAAAGGCGGGCTCGTGACCTGACCCGGGAGTTCAACGCACGGCCCCTGTCTAGCGTACCCGCTCAGGCGCTTACAATGCACGGCCCCTGTCCAGTGTACCCGCCCAAGTGCTTACAACGCACGGTCCCTATCCAGCGTACCAGCCGCTTACAACGCAAGGCTCCGGCCAGCGTACCAGCCCAGGTGCTTACAACGCACGGCCCCTGCCAGCGCACCAGCCCAGGTGCTTACAACGCACGGCCCCTGCCAGCGTACCAGCCCAGGTGCTTACAACACAAGGTCCTTGTCTAGCGTACCAGCCTCTTACAACGCACGGCCCCTGTCCAGCGTACCAGCACGGCCCCTGCTCAGCGTACCAGCCCAGGTGCTTACAACGCACGGCCCCTGTCCAGCGGACCAGCATCTTAGACATAACTGCACGCACCCTATTCACCCATACAAAACTGCACGGTACTCCGAAACAGTGACATAGTGGCCAAGGAAACACGTGCAAAATATTAATTAACGGGCACCGACTCACGAGACTTGCCACTAGCCACTGATGACGGCACCTGCTCCAACGCGCATATAAACCAGACACTGGTTGTCCGACCCCGACTCCAAACCACGCGAACGAAAATATTCTGCAAGGCATTACTCACGACCACGACACGACTCAAACCCGTCCAAGAATATCACAGTCAGCGCGACCTCCTCCTCCTCTCTCCCCCCCCCCCCTCCCCCTCCCCCATATGGAGGAAGGTCAGTGGCCAGCACGGCGACCAGTCCTACCTGGTCGGGAAGCTGCACTTTGCCGGCGAGGAACGGGTCGCAGCCGTGGTAGAAGGCGTAGATGACGAGGCCGGCGAACGAGGTGCTGAGGCTGAGCAGCGTGAGGATGGGCCACTGCAGCCAGAGCGCCAGCTGCGAGCGGCGCAGCCGACCGATGGTCAGCAGCCGCTGCACCTGCGCCTGGTTCACCGCGTACAGGCTGAGGTAGATGAAGATGCCGCCCACCGCCAGCGACCACACCGTGTGGCGCTCAGTCGGGTCCGGCGAGAAGCTGCAATCAGGAGGAGCGCGTGCCAGCCGAGGACGCAGGCTGAGCCAGCGGCACGGTCGCCGGCAGCTCGGCGGGGGCCGGCCTGTACGGGAACGACCAAAGCGAAACCCGCATCCCCGACCAGTCAATTTAATCCTGATTCTTTTAAAATTTGGTTCACCCCGAAATCGTTCCAGGTACCGCATGGAAGCCAGCGCGCGTCGGCCGGAGATCCCAGTGACCGACTTGTGTAATCGAGCCAGGTCTGGAGATGCTCTGGGGTGGGCAGAAGTAGACCCGAACGACAGTAGACAAAACTAGCCACGCTAGCGTACGTTTGGCGTCCTTTTGAGATGGTGATGACACGTCTTGGTGCACCACCACTGATCACGTCAATGTAGACAAGTATGTAACTTACGTTTGTAGCGCTCATTTTTATCAGTGAGCTTGGTTTGCATGATAGCGGTCCAGTGTTCCGGCATTATGCTACACGCGAAGTAAGATATAGGACGTACAAAAATATGCTTCGCCGATTGTACACCTGAGCAATATACAGCACGTCGTTGTATTTCGAACCAGAATCCTGCTTGGTACGCGGTGTTATTTAGTTTATAGTATCCTTCACGCGCAAAAATTCAGAACATGGAAAGAACTGCTCCAACCCCCCCCCCCCCTCTCGCAGCCCCCAACCCCAAAACACACAAAGCCTTACCCATATGCGTGTGTCGCCACAGAGGAGAGACACCGCAGCCGTCCCCGGCACGTGACCAGTCCGGGCCGGTCCCGACCCTCGGCACGTGACCAGTCCGGGCCGGCCCCGACCCTCGGCACGTGACCAGTCCGGGCCGGTCCCGACCCTTACTTACTTGAAGAACTGGATCCGACCGCCGTCGTCGGCGATCCTCCAGACCTCGGCCGGGCCGCCCATCTTCACGCAGCCCACAGCAATGACGGCGAAGATGGCCGCGAACATCAGCAGCGTCTGCCCGGGGCGCACGGGCCGGCGCGTCAGAGCGCAGAGCTGGTGACGGGGGTGAGGGACGCGCCGCGGCCAGAGTTCTCTCGCCAGCGCGCCTGCTGTCCGCCGCGCAGCGTCGAGCGGCGGACGAGGAGAGGCGGTGGAAGCGGGGGAGGGGGGGGGGGGGGCACACCACGGAAGAGGCAGTCGTCAGCAGACCTCGGCATCCGAACCGGCCGGCCGCAGAGTTCACGCCCCCTAAGCCTTTCGTTTGCACGCCAGGTGATCACCGGTCTCATCACGCAGTCACTAAATGTGCCGGAGCCCACCTGCTTTTGACCTTTCCAAGCCGACTGGCGACCTGTCGGGTTCGGGTAGCGCCTGTGCTCAGGGAACAGTTATGGAGCTGCCGCGCCTACACTCGGCCGCTGCGTGCGCCCACCTGGAACACGTCCGTGACCAGGACCGCCTTCATGCCGCCCAGAGTCGAGTAGAACGTGCAGACGAGACCGACGAGCAGCACGGACAGCCACAGGCTGATCCCTGAAGCGGACGGGGACACCGCCGTCAGAGGGGGCTCCCGATCGGCCGGAGTCCTCTCTCTCTCCTTCCCCGCCCAGCCAAACCGGGTGTCATCAGCGGCGCGGTACATCAGCCGTCCCCAAGTGCGATCATTGAGAGTGGGGGGGGGGGGGGGGGGGCGGGGCAGCGGGGGTTTGCCTCTCCGCGATTCTCCAAAAACGGGGTTTTGTCCCCCATTTAACCCCAGCCATGCACGTTTTCACGCCTCCCCATTTAACAACACCTTTGTTAGGTTGTCTCCAGATTCCAGTCTCCTATCCCACACCAGCCCTGAGAACCCTGATTTGTCCCGGCTTTCAGAGACGTGGCTACACCCATGTTCCCCCTCCCCCTGCCGTCAGCACGAGCGCTAACGGAGAATCATCCGCAATGCGCTGCAGACTGCAGCGATGTCGGATGTTATGAGGGTTCGTTTACACGAGCCTTAATACCGTGGCGGCGCCAGGACATGGGGACTGACGTCAAATGCCTACGGAGCCATCGACTGTAACTAAAATGATTCCACCCTGCGCTCTACTGCAATGATCCCAAGAGCTGGAGCGTGTTCTTTTGCGACATGAATTTATTTTGAGGGCCGAAACATATCATTACGGGACGCGACGGGAGCAGAAGCACATGCAGCTTCGGCATTCAGTGGCGAGCGAAAACATTCGGAGGCTGATACAATCCGCGGACGCAGCGAAAGCCACCGTTTCCATGCTGCAGCGGCAAAGACCACGTTTTTACGGCTTTACGGGGCCGCTCTGGCCCCGGTTTTACCTCGTTGACGGAACCGGATGACATAACACCTATCCTCACGTAGGCGGTGCCCAGCCGTGATTCGGTTATGGTGGCGATAGCCTTTCAACTGGATCAGCTTCCTGAACAAAGGACGCTTGCGCATGTTTCCTTTCTCCTTCAAATCAGTCCGGGATTACTGTTTTGAATGATGTAAAGTCATCATTGTGGGTGGTATTACTGATGATGTGATAATAGAAATAAGCCCACGAGTCGTAACACACGTATGTTTTTGTAGAACCAGCAGCGAGCTGCATTACTGCTAAGTTCAAAACCCCACACCAAAGTGTGAAGACCACACCGCGTACAAAGGCCAAATAGTCAACGCTTTAGATGCGGTTAAATTATTGGAAAACCAATCTAAACGTCTCCGCTTGACGGCATGAACACCGTCAAGATGTGACTTCCAGTTCACGGACCAGTAGCAGGCCGAGAAGTAAGACTGCCACCGGGCAAGACGGGGTCAACAGCCGTCGTGCTAGCGATTGCACGTTATTCTCCTTCTCCTGCCCACAACGCACGCCGGCGGTAAACGTACTCTCGAACACATTCACACTGCATTGACCGCTGGCTGAGTGATTTTGGCACGTCCGCAATGGTTCAGTACCAGCGCTCTCACAACTGGACATCATGTATACGACGGAGCGATACGCAGGGTAGGTGGGGCACGTCGCCGGAAATTCCATCTCGCGCGCGACGCAACGAGCATAGCCGAGGACAACGTACGTAAACACCACATTAGTCAAAACGGCCACCCACCACCGCGCCCGACCACTCACAGTACAACCTCAGACAGCACCGGCGCCGTCACATTCGTAACTAGCAACCAGTGCCGGTAACCATTACCAGTAACCAGCAACCAGTACCAGTAACCAGTGCCAGTAACCAGTAACCAGTAGCAGTAACCAGCGCCGGCGGCGCTCCACCCACGCCGTACACTCACCGGTGACGGTGCTAAGCGCGATGGCCGGCGCGTACAGCACGATGCCCATGTAGAGAACCATCTGGACCGAGAAGGCCAGCGAGCACAGGACACGGGTCAGCACGCCGAACCGGCACTCCAGGTACTGCAACAGGGAGTGGAGGGTACGGTCAGAACCGGCACTCCAGGTACTGCAACAGGGAGTGGAGGGTACGGTCAGAACCGGCACTCCAGGTACAGGGAGTTGAGGGTGTCGACCGAACCGGCACTCCCGGTACTGCGACAGGGAGGTGAGGGTACAGACCGGACCGGTACTCCAGGCACCGCAAAAGGGAGCACATCACAGCATGGAACACACTCGCCACTCCAGCGCTGCGACATGGAGCGCATGGCAATTTAGACTAGCAGTGCCAGGTTCAGCACCTGCAAAACGGTACCCACACTGACATCGATTTGTACACCTGCACCTGTGATAAAAAAACTGGCTCATTTTGCACAAAACCCAAAACTTCCGATGCATGGAACGCCCACTAGTGGGTTATCGCATTATGTTCTGTATCGATATGCTAATTTAACCAGTTTTTTAAATGCTATGCGTACAAATGACACGTGTTCTCAGAACGTCACATGTGTAGTAAAATCCCCAAATTGTCCGTTCAAGCAAAACGCACCTGCATTCATTCTGAAAGTGGACGGACCAACACAGAGTCCCGGTAAAATGCATTTGATGATTTCACTCCTCGCAACACCACCTAAACTGTGTCGCAGAGCAGGGTTGTATGATCTTGGAATTGGTTTATACAATTATATTTCAAAACGTTGTTTAATGCAATAAGTTTCAATACAATAAGTCCGGAATTGCTACGTTCTACTGACCATGGCTATAAATTATTACTGTCAGTTCTAGCGTGTCTCTAGATCGTAAAAAGTCAACACCCCGATCTAAGATGACTTAATTGAAAACTGTTAGCCATTCGTACCTTCCGCACTGTTTCAACAGTGGCGCACGGAAGTTTTGGTGTGACATGGTGCGCTGCCGGCTGTCTGCACTCTAAACGGACAGCGGTGTGCGATACCTGACTCGATCGGTGCGGGGAGAAGGACCGGGTAAGATCAGATCAGATCAGATCAGGTCAGATCGGAGATCGGATCAGGATCAGATCACGTCACGTCAGCGGCCTCGGTCCGATTTCGCAGTCACTGGGAGGATGCCGCAGCAAGTGGGTGGCGCCCGCAAGGAGTGGACAAAGCGGCGATGCCTCCTGCGCGCGAACATTAACTGCAAAGATCTAATCGATAAATCTAAAATGTGCGTGCCCCCTGAGCTGCCATGGAAAGAAAGACATGGCCCAAACGCATGGCATGTCAAGTCACAAAGATATAGGCAGCTCCGCCGCCGGGCGTGCCGTGGCGACGCCGGGTGCAGCGCCTCGGAGCCCTCAGAGCCCTCAGAGTCTGGCCCAGGCGCCTTCAGCGCGAGACCGGCACGCACTCCGGACCGCGCAAAGCAGCGCAGGTGGGTGAATCCGATCGGAGAGAGCTTCACAGCTACACGGAGCTGACGCGGCCCGCCCCGTACGCTGAGTGGGCAGCGGCATCCTTGTGCTGTGCACCGCGTGATCGATCTGACTGAAGCCGGAGTTTCGGACACTGTGATTGTCTCGGGGAACGTCTACGCGCAGGCGATACTACGAGAAGAGTACGACTGGGTCATTTGGAGCTGGGAGTGGTGCGACAAGTGCTACACCTGCGCGACACCCGGCTCCACCGACAGCTTGACAGCCATTCACCCCTTACCCATTCCGACAGCTGGCACCGTGCTAAACAGCTCAACGGCCACTTCAAATGTCCCCAATCGATTCCCACCCAACACGCATCTCACAGTCGCAGACAGTGCTACGCTGCGACGATGATGTCACCAGCTGCTCCGCACGCCGGTAACCCGCCCAGTCATTAATTCCCACCCCGCCCCACCCCTGCCTGCTGGCCGTCACAACTGGCGCGCGGGGGGGGGGGGGCGGGCCAGTTACCGAGCGGCAGTGGGCCCCGCCGGCCGGCGTCCCCGGCGGCCACCGACCGGCAAATCGCTGCCGCCCGATGCGCACGCACGGCGCACGAACGCAGTGAGAGCAGCGGTCACAGGTGCGCGCGCCGACACCCATACCGAGGCAGCTTCTGGCTGAAGACCATTGTTGACCGGCAACAATGGTGGCTTTTTAGTCGCCACCACCGCGATCGGTGCAACGCGTCTGTCCTGCACGCTTTCGTCCGGTGATGCAATCACAATGAGATGAGAGATAAGGCTCGGAAAACCCAGCTCACTGTTCTCGGAGAACGGTAAACAATTCTGGTCATTGCAAAATGAAGGCGGTTAATTCACCGCTTGAAAAGGTGATCACACGCTTTGGTTGACAATGGTGCACATTCTAGCCTTCTGTACAGCGAGAACCAGTCCAGCGTATGTATTGTACACAAAATTTTAAGTTGAAGAAGATTGGGGAAAGAAATTGGGGAAGACTGCGATTTCGAGACTGTATTGCTGCCTTTCTCCGTCGGTCCGCATCAGTGCAGACACTCCCTGCGTCGCTAACGTCTCTTGGAGAGCGCTGGTGACCTGTCGGCCTGTAGCGTCTCCTTGCCGAACCCGGTAGGGAACAGCTCGGCCAGATGTCTGTCCACCCGGACGAGGAGATCCGCCCAACGAGGGAGAAAATGTGTGGGAGACGTCCTCTAGCGCCCTGGGTGACCGTGGATCAGACACAATCTGTATGTGTGTCTTTCGTCGGTCGCGCTGACTTTTTGGGCAGGACTGGCAGTCACCGATGGTGCCGATGATGTTACTGTTAATTCCTGGCCACCACACGGTTTGACGTGTCCTACGCTTGGGGCGCCCCACGTCCCGGAGAGCGTCATGTTGAGCTGCCAGCATGTTTCTTCGGAACGCTATTTCTTGGGACCAGGAGGCCACGGCTTTTCCGTATGAGGCCGCCATCAGTTCTCAGGTCGCTGCGGACCAGCTGGAAGAGAAGCAGCAGGTGTTCCGATAACCGCTTCTTGTCAGACGAAAAGCTCTGGGCGACAGCCTCGGCAAGTACCTGGTACTCCACGTCATTTCCGCCGCCTTGGTGACATACTTAAATCGTGGGTCAGGAGCTGAAGAGACGTTAGTGCTGTGATACTGCAGGGAAAAGGTCTGGCGGACGTGGTGATTCACCACATCGATTAGCTGATGATCTTCAGCTGCCGGTTTTTGGTCCAGCAGTTAAGTTTTAGAGAGGCACGCCTTCTAGGGTTGCAGTCGCAGTAGCTGTCGAGGCTGCAGAGGCATCTCCAAAGACGTGGTTCTTGTTGACATTCATGATGTGCTCGTGCAATATTGGAATCAAGTGTTCCACGACCACCTTGAAATGCTGCAGGTCGTGTAGGAATATTCCGAGACTCACAGTCCCCATACGAGCGCCAGCAGTTCCAGTTCCAGCATCACGTACCGCGATTCTGTGCCGGAGAGGAATCTTGATCCGCATCAGACGGGATACCAGCGAACACTGTGCCGTTGCAGGAGTGCGTAGCCGAGTCCATTCAGCCGGGCGGCAACGGTTAGGAAACGGTGGGGGAAAGCTGCATCGCGAGGCAACAGTCCGGACGATGAAGCCAGGGTAGCCTTGATGGGCTCGAAGACCGTTTGATAGCCTGATGTCCATACGAATGCGCTGCTGGGCTTCAGCAGACCATGGAGTGGGTCCGCGACCGATGAGATCTCCGTTGAGCATCCCCTGAGCTCCCGAATGACAGACCCACGAAGAATCCCATTTCACGGATGTTCGTCAGCGCTGGGAAACCAGAGAGGCTGCCATCTTCATAGGGTCGACTTGTTCCCGGCTGCAGAGTTGGCAACCACGGAAGGAGACTCATTTTTCAGTATAGCGTACTCCTGTGGAGTGATGCGTGATGCCGATACGAATGGGGCAGCTATCAGGTGCTTGGTGTTCTCTTTGAATGCCTTGTCGTAGAGAAGGATGCCGACGACGACCTTCCCGAGGTTCTTCATGCCTTGAATCGCGACGTTACCGTGTCAACAGAACTCGTCGCCTCACGAGACGGGATGCATCGACGCCCCGATAAATCTTAAGTGATTACAGGGGGGGGGGGGGGGGATGAGCGTTGTACGCATCTGGCTGGCTGTGTGGAGGGCATTGCCCAGACTTCGCATCCACGGCCACGAAGAGCCTCGACGTTATATGGACGCTTGAGGCGCCTTCTCGCGCAGTTTGGGATAAATGCAGAGGCCTCTATACGGACTTGTTCAGCTTTATCAAGTCGAAACATATCCAAAGGTCTCCGTTCGGCTTGGTCATGGGGACAAGTAGGTGACAACAGGAGCACGGTTCATCGTCCAAGGGAGCGATGATTCCCTGGCGTACCATGTCCTCAAGCTCTATCTCGCTTCGTCGCACCAGGCGCCCGGGTTAGGGTGAGAAACCTGCAAGATGAACGGTTTGGCGTCTTCCAAGTTCCACATAATGGATTTCGATCAGTGGACCAGTCATTAACTTCAGAGACGCTGACATATCTTATGTCAGACATATCTTCTGAACACGTCTGCAAATTTCTGAAGGAAACCTTGCCAAAGTTGCCGTGCTTGCTTTGGTGTGGCATGCATTTCGGCTGTTTCTTGCGGTATTCTTCCAGGCCGACATCTGTTACAACTGTCTGCATGTGCAAAGCATTGGCTGTGGGTGGTAACCTGGATGGATCCCAAGCTTTTTGCGGTGTACCACACCAGCAAGGGCCCCGGGGTTTCCTCGAAAAGACAGATTCAACTGATATCGCCTGGGCTAGTCTGCAGGAGCACGCGGATGACCAGCTCGTCTCATGCTGCGCATCCTGGCAAAGACCCATATGACCGCGCAGTACGCGCAGTTGAGTTGTGAAGGAGCGCGCCTTCCTCCTGGATGAGGCGATGGCCTGAAGAATCCGCCTGCTGTCCGTTTCCATGACTAGCTGCAGCAGGTATTTTCGGTTTTAAGGCGGAGTAGACCTCGTGTTTCCTGCCTGAAACAGATTCGAGCCTTCGTCGTTGGCGCAAGGTGTTCTTGTGATCTGCAGATGTAAGCTGTCCGGACTAGAGCTGGGATGCGAGCGGGCCAAGGTCCGACGGCCTGCGTCGGGTCTCTCCGTCTTGGATGCCGGACATCATCTTTCCCGTGATGCGCTGCTCCTGTCACGCGAGGCAAAGCTCGGCATCTATGGCCACCGCTTCCACTATTATCAAGAGTGAGTCCAATGACTCGCCGACTTATCGCTCTCTCCCACTCCCACTCCCACTCCCACTCCCACTCCCACTCCCACTCCCACTCCCACTCCCACTCCCACTCCCAATCTCCCACTCCACTCCCCTCCCACTCCCACTCCCACTCCCACTCCCCCCCACTCCCACTCCCACTCCCACTCCCACTCCCACTCCCACTCCCACTCCCACTCCCACTCCCACTCCCACTCCACTCCCACTCCCACTCCACTCCCACTCCCACTCCCCACTCCCACTCCCACTCCCATCCCACTCCCACTCCCACTCCCACTCCACTCCCACTCCCACTCCCACT